TGTACGCCGGTGCCGGCATGGGTAAGTAGGAGCCGGCACTATATATACACGACCCTGCGCCGGGATGAGAAGCCGAAAAGCCTCCCGCCGCCACAGCCATGCCCTGCAAGGCGCTCGCCCTCTGCCTCCTGGGGCTCCTGGCTCTCTCCTCCGCCTGCTACATCCAGAACTGCCCCATCGGGGGCAAACGCGCCATCCTGGACATGGACATCAGGAAGGTACGTCCCGGCGGGCTGGGAGACCTCCTAACCCCCTCCTTTCCTTCTCCCAACCCTCCCCAAGCCTTCCCGGGGCTCCGGCGGGGAAGATGCTGGCAGGACGGAGGAAAGGACCAGGGGAAAGGCTCGACCCCGGTGCACTGACCCCAGGTGCTTTCCCAAATAACCCTCCCCTGCCTTTCTTCCCCCCCCCCTTCCCCGAGCAGTGCATGCCCTGCGGTCCCAGGAACAAGGGCCACTGCTTCGGTCCCAACATCTGCTGCGGAGAAGAGCTGGGTTGTTACATCGGCACCTCCGAAACCCTGCGGTGCCGGGAAGAAAACTTCTTGCCGACACCCTGCGAGTCAGGACGCAAACCCTGCGGCGGCAGCGGAGGGAGCTGCGCGGCCCCCGGCATCTGCTGCAGCAGCGGTGAGGGCAGCGCCGGGTCCGCGTCCCTTCCGGGGACTCTCGTCACGGGGGTCCCCACAGATGAGGGGTTACGAGATAAAAGCGGGCGAGGGGACGTCCCCCAAAGGATCACCTTTGTCCCGTCCATCCCTCCATCCATCGCCCCGACAGCCAGGGCCACCCCGCTCAGGGCAGACTTGATCCCGACCCCAGGGAATGCGACGGCAGACCATGAGGTTTCGGGGAAGGGGGAGAGCAGACAGCAACCAAATTTAGGGGGCTGAGGAAGCGGCAGGAGTCCTGCGGCGCACGGCAGCCCATGCCCCCTCCCGCTCTCATTACGGTTTTCCAAAAATCCCAGCCTCCTCCCTAAGCGGGACGCTACCAGAGCTCCTGCCACGAATCCTGGGGAGCCACAGGGCACGAAGCCAACGCATCTTGCTCGATGTTATTAAAAACCAGCGCCGGGGGGGGAGGGCGG